TGAAGATTTTTCTGGTGGCCCGTGGTTTTTCCCTCTACACTGGAGGGTTTTTCACGTAAATCTTGGTGTGCTTTATTTTTTCTGCGCATTTGATTATTGATTGTTGTCTATTGCTTCTGTATTGTTGTGATTATTGCTTCAGGCGCAACACTTGCATCTCTCACAATATCCAACACATACTTGTTCTGAGATACAAAGATCCTTTTTTACACCTTGACACTTCAATACCCAAAAAATATTTTAATTAACTGAGATCCTTAGTCTCAAACTAGGACTTAAGATATATCTTAAAATTGTCTGTCTTCGTCCTATCACTACCAATGATAATGATGTCATCTATATACACTCTCAATAATATAAAGGCCAATATTTTTTTATATATAAAATGTTGAATGATCCTTCTGACTTTGTCACATGCCATACTGAACAAAAGCTGCATTACATTTACTTAACGATGCATATGAAGATTGTTTCATGCCATACAAAAACCTATACAAATGAAACATTTTCCCAAACTCCTTATGAGCAACAAACTTTAGTGATTGCTCCATATATACCTCTTCAGCCAAGTCACCATATAGGAAAGCATTCTTTACATCCAACTAATGTAATGCCCATTTATGTGTGATAATAAAACTGAGAAATAGGTTAATAGATGTTATATTTACCATTGGTGAAAATGTATCAAAATAATATACTCCATATGTCTATGTATATCCCTTCGCTACTAGCCTTACCTTTGATATAGCCAATGAATCATTCAGATTCAATTTTGTGGTGTAAACCCACTTACACCTAATAGTTTACTTCCCTGTTAGCAAGGAAACCAATCTCATGTATGGTTGGCTCTAGGGCCATCATTTCATCCTCTATAGCTTTATGCCATCTTGAATCTACAAAAGCATCATGAAAAGTACATGGCATAATAATAACATTAATTGTGGCAATACAAGTCTGAAATTGAGTAGAAAGTCCTTTATACGAAGGCGTGTATAAAAAAATTTTTCTATAGGTTTATGTACTTTTTTGTAAAGTAATTGGTACATCCTTAGCTATAGTGTCTTGAAATAGATCCATTGATAGAGAGATTATCTCGAGAAGGGAAGTTTTTGAAAGTGGATCTATGTAGGTTTGTCTAGTTTACGTATAACCAAATCAAGTATCGGGGTATATCTCTGAAGGAAGTGTATTGATTGGTGTACTATTTATTTGATAAATGAGAAAATTTTTTTTTATGGGATAGGTGATAGATGAGACCGTAGTATCGAAAGAAAAGGAATCGACTCATGAAAAGCAATATCTGTCGAAATAATAAAATGACCCAAGTTTGGAGAGTAGCACCGCTACCTTTTTTGGAGATGTGAATAACTTAGAAAGATACGTTTAAAGGAACATGTGTCTAATTTAGTGCAACCCAAATAAGTGTCACAAACAAAATGTGTGCACCCAAACACCTTGAGGGGGATTGAAAATAAAAAACAATTAAAACACAATACTTGAACATGAACTTTTTTTTTAAGGATCGAAAATGGAAAAAGATTTATAAAATAGCATATTGTAAGGATAACTTCACTCCAGAATACCTTAGGGACCTTTATTTGAAACAAAAGAGCACTAACCATTTTCAACAAATGACGATTTTTCTTTTTAGCAACCCTATTTTACTGTGGGGTATCTGAACACGAAGACTGATGAACAATACTTTTTGCATTTATGAATTAAACCAACTCCATAAAAAAAAAATACTCTTGCCATTATCACTTCATAAATTTTTGATAGGTTAACCAAGTTGATTCTCTATTTCTATATAAAAGGTAGTGAAAATAGAAAATAATTAGAAGTAGCTCCATAATAAATACAACCAACAAATTAATGAATAATTTTCAACAAATGTCATAAAGTATTTATAACAAGATTTCCAAATAATAGGGCAAGGCCTCCATTTGTTAGAATGAATCATAGCAAAAGAAAACCTTTTTTTTTTTATTAAATTGAGGTTGATAGAACACTTTGTGCAGTTTAGCAAACTTGCAAGATTCATAATCAAAACTAAAAGATGATAAATGAAAACACATAGCTCATAAAGTTGACATGGATGGATGACTAAAATGACAATGAAACTTATAAGCTAACGATAATTCTCCTGAATATGCCATTAGTTTCGGTCATATCTTTTGTATGTCTTTAAACACATAAAGACCTTATTTAATCCTTTATCTATCAATATTTTGCTTCATTAATAGATCTTGAAAAACATAATAAATAAGAAATAAAGAGACACTACAATTCAAATTCCTTATAATTTAACTGATTAAAAGTAAAAAAAAAAAAAAAAGAGACATATAGCATAGAATGTAAAGGTACTGTAGATATAGGTTGAGCTTTGCCATTTCCCATAATATTTATAGTTTTCCTATTAGCAACCAAAACTTATTATTTTTCTATTATAAGAATATATGAATAAAGAGTATTTATAGTACCTATCATATGATCTGAAGCTTTTGAATCAATCACCCACGTCTTGGAGAGGGTAACCAAACATACAATAGATGTATCTTGTATAAAAGTTATTGTTAGAGAAAAAGTCAAAGTTTGATTCTTAAGCATCTAAGTAAACCTATCATATTCATCATGGGATAACTAAACTCACTTCTTCTATTGCTATTGTGGCTTAAGTGTAGCTTCAGTCACATATATCGCTAGTAGGCCAAAATTACTTGAAGGTGCCAATCAACATTTCGTAAGTGTCTTTACTGTCCATAATCATAGTAGGACCATAGGTCTTATTTACCACCTCTATGTCCTTTACCTAGCTCACCACGTCATTTACGCGGTGCTCACCTTTCAAATTATGGGGCCATAAATATTACCTTATTTTTATGAAAGATCATGTTAGGTGATCTTACTTATGCACTTATAAGCATCTAATAAAGAAAATGGATCTATACTTGCTAACATCAAGTAGTAGTACTAGTGTACTTCTTTCTCAATTTTGCTAAGAAAAACACTACAACTAAAGTATCTTATTACTCATAGTTTATCTTTAGATCAATAGAGAAGGGCATGGGTTCATTAAACTTATCATACAGCTCATTGAACATAATAAAATATTCCCTCAAGTTCCTATTATATTGCTGTATTCTAGTTCATGCCCCGGTAACATCTAAGATTCTTTACCAATTCTCAAAATTTTTATAAATAATTTTTAAAGCATTTTAAAATTCCTTACTTATAAGGTATTGATTGAACATCAGCATAACTCATTGTTCTATCAAGTTGAAAAATTATCCAAGTATTCGATTGTCTTCTTATTCCCACATTACATACTCCGAGCTTTTTTTTTTTGGTGATTCACTTGTCAAAAACCTAACCTTTCCAAGATCTCGTAAGGTCACCAATACAATCTTGCTCTATAACAAGTAGTTGGAGCCATCGAGTTTCTCATTTGACAACCATAAGCCTGTGATAATCTCTTAAGTTATCACTTTTTAATGTGGTTGTCTTTTCCTTAACCATGGCCAAATGACTTTTTTACTTTAGAACACAACTGATAATCCTTCAACTGGGGAAAATAACCCTTAATCAACAACAAGAAATTTCGTCATTTGTTTTGTAGCCATGCTCTATACAAAGAAAAACTTGTCTCCCTTAATTAATTATTCATGAAAAGATTAGAACTTTTTCTTTTTGTTGCATTTGAGAATAAGAGGGTGGCCTTATTTCAACCAATGAAAGACTGTTGAAAATGAAGGAAAGGCTTTAAGTACTCAACTTTAAGGCTATGAGATCAAAGTTTGTAGTAATAACAACTTGGGTGACGACATAAGGGCTACCATAGAAGGGTTTAGGGAAAGAGAGAGAAAGAGGAGTGGCAACAGCTAGGGTTGCACTGCTGGCTTCGATATCATGTTAGAATTAAGGTTTTGGAGAACAACTTACTAATCCCTAAGATTAGCCTTTCATTATATAGACAATACTAAGGAAAGAAAATCAATTACACTTACATATTAATATTTCTAATTAATTCATTGTAAACTGTCTCTCATAGAATATTTCAATAAAATTTCAACTCACACACATACATACACTAATAAAAATATAGTAAAAAATTATGGCATTTGAAGTGGAAAAGATATTTTTTTAAGATTTAAAGCCACAAGCCTTTTGGAAGATCTAGGCTTATTGGGTTGGTTTTTAAGAAAACTAATTTGATGAATAGAAAAAGGGGGCTAAAAGGAGTTTGGATATAAAATTTGGGACCAAATTGATGTCGATGAGTGATAGTTGACAATAAAATGTTGATTTTTGGGTTTATGGGATTTTTAAATATTGAAGCTTAAATGAGGACTAAGAGAATAAACTTAGAAATATAATAAGAAAAGAGAAAAGTGAAAGAACATATGATTTTTTTGGCATTTTATAATCATATAAAATGACATCGTTTTGTATTTGAAAAAAAAAAACCCTACATGAAGCAAAGAAAGTACTTTTGTTAAAATTAAAGAAAATAAATATATGTAAAAAAGAAAAAAACCTATTAATTTAAATTAAATAAAAAATAAAGGAGTAGTACCAACACTGTTGATAGAATAATAAACAAGATTGTTTTTTTATTTTTAAAAGTTATATATAATAATTCATATATTTATATTTATTTATATCATATTTAACACGTTTAAAATATGAAAATTATCGTATTATAATTTATATTAATAAACTAAACACAAAATATATTTTTTATTTTTACCAAAATCTACATATAACTTTTATTAAAATTTTAAACTATATCAATTTTATATATTTTTTTCATATAATATTATATGTGTCATTGTATTATATTTAAAATATAAGATCTATCAAAAACTTGTGTTAAGGGTTTCAATCTACTAGGATGTCTAAGTAAGAGGGCGGGCTTCCAACAGAGGAACTTTGTTCGTACCTGAGCTCTATGTTTATTTTGTTGAGATTGGGCTGAAGCCCATTAAGAGTTTCAATGGTTAGTTAAAACGTACGACTAGAAGCACATCGGAAAAGCGACTCTATTTTTTTTTTATAAAATTTTACACGCGTGACTGAGTAAAGCCTCGGACCCTGAAAAAAGAAAACGCAACACTACTGCCATGTCACCTCAACAGTAGTTTCTACTTCAACTATCCCCTCCTGTCACCTACAAAAGGGCTCGACTTGCAGCTGGTTTTCAAGTTATTCCCTCAAACAAAGACATTAAAGTAAGTTCCTTTTGTTTGTTTAGGGTTCATTAATGCCGTAGCCCACCAGGGTTCATGTCTCAGACCTTTTTTCGTGTTTCTTCTTGCAGGAGCTCAAAAGAAAGACCTTCTGTTTATTAAAAAAAAAAACAAACTAGTTCTTATTTTGTGGCTAACCTAGAAACCGGAGGATGCTTGTGAGTAAGAGGGAACTTGTTTCTTTTATGTTGCAATATAAATGAAAAAAAAGAGTCTTTTTTTTTTTTTTAGTACTGGCTTTTGATTTATTAACATTGTTATTGTACATTTACATTGTTTAGGATTTTTAAGAAAAGTGTTTGCGTTTTTGGGTTTTTTTCTGTTTTCTTCATTGTGGATTTTAGGAACCAGAGAAGATGACTCTTGGTGGTAGTGAGGCTCAGATGAATGATTCCAAACCAGGTATGGAAGAAACTGAAGCTGAAGCTGACGCTAAAGCCCCAATGGACACAGAAACAGAAGCTGCTGAAGTGAAAGACCAAGATCAAGTTGAAGAACCTATCAAACTTGAAGAGGATGGGAAATTGCAGGCTCAGTTGGTTGGTGACAACCCATACACTGTGGAACAACAAGCCGTTGCCGACCAAACCCACGGCAATGAGGACACTAGCAAAACTCTCAATGTTGTTGATGCTGATGGTCAAAATGAAGAAATTTTGAAGTTTGAGGAGAATGATGTTGCTGAATTTAAGGATGTTGAGGACAAATCATTGGCTGAAATTGTTACCAAAATAGAAGTTGTTGAACATGATGATACCCCCATTCATTCACATGATAATGGACTTTGTGGAAGCCCCAACTCTGACATAAAACCCCAAGATGATGACAATTGGGAGCGAATAAAGGATTTGTCTACAGAAAGAGAGATTAAGATGCAAGTGGCCATGACAGAACTTGGTGACAAAAACACTAACCTATGCTTTGACAACGCAGGGTCAGACACGGAGGAGGATCAAGCAGCCTTTATAAAGGAGGTTGAAGCTTTTTACAAGGAGAAGAACCTTGAATTCAAGCACCCTAAGTTTTACAAAGAGGATTTAAATTTGCTCAAGTAGGCCGTTTCAAGTTTGCATGTTTGTGGAAACTGTTCTCTTTTTTAAAAAAACTTGTCTCTAACCATTCTGCTCTTTTTCATTTGACTAAAGGTTATGGAAGGCTGTTATCAAATTGGGGGGCTATAAACAGGTTTGCCTTAAAGTCTTCGTTTTTCATTTCTTTATAGATTTCCTATCCTACCTGAAACTCTCCCTCTCTCTGCGTTTTATCTTCTCCAATTTCATAACATGCTTGTACATTACATTAAAAGATGACTAGTTTAATCGAAAATATAAAACTATAATTGAATAGTATATCAATCTTTTAATATTTTGGTAACATGTGGTTTTCCTCATTCTGAGTTCCGAGGAGATGCCTGTATATGCAGTATCTGCCTGTAAAAACTTGTTGCTGTCCTTGACATTGAATTGTTGTAGTTAATTGAGTTGACCAACTGGAAAAATTGCCGTTAATTTAGCTTTTGTGCTTATTTATAGTATTAAAGAAAACCATTCATTTGGTTCTTATGGTTAAGAATAAGACACATTATGAACTTGTTTTTTTTTTATCCATGCTGTGGAATTTGTAGGTGACCTCATGCAAATTGTGGAGGCAAGTGGGAGAATCATTTAATCCTCCCAAGTAAGGATACCATCTTCTTTGCTGTTGATGTCCGTCTTCTAGCTTAGCAACCAATTTCCAAGACTTAAGTACACAAAGCCTGCATTTTCCTTCTATTAAAACTAACTTGTTGAATTGTTGATGATTTTCAGACTGTCTTATGTATGTGAAAATCTTTTTGGTAAAAAAAATTATATCTGTTAGCTCAGTCTTTTGTTTTTATGAATAAATTTTGTTAACAAGGCACCCTCCTGTCCTCTTCTCATGGTGATGGCTAATTTTCTTGCTTTAGTCACATTATATGGTTTATTTATTTATTTGTTTGTTTGGCATAGGACCTGCACTACTGTATCGTGGACGTTCCGTATCTTTTATGAGAAGGTTTTGCTCTAATTGCTAATTTTTGTTAATTAAAGAAAACAGATATACTTTGTGAATTAAGGCCCGACCCCCCATGTCTTCCACTGTCATATCTAACTTTTATTTTCTTTATTTGTTATTTTGACATGTGGTTCTCCTATAATTTGGTTCCATTGATTTACACAGGCATTGCTTGAGTATGAAAAGCATAAAATACATGGTGGCACACTCCCTCACTCTGATGCTTCCTTTATAGAGCCTAATGTGGTTGAAAGTCAGGTAAGCTCTAATAGTTTTAATGCTTGCTGATCAGCTTGGCAAAGCATATTTGTTTCTTTGTCAACATGAATGCTGTTTGTTGTAGCAATATCTTTTGTCTATCACATTTTCCTTCATGTCGTATTTACCTCTGTCATGCCATGAACAAGCAAGATTTTCTGTTGCATATGCAAAATTGATGATAACTTAATAAGAGGATTTGCATCTTGAGGTGCATCTGGTAGTCAAATTGCTGTATTGAAAGTAACAGATGGTGCCTATTTTGGTAAGATAGGGCAGAATGGAAATCATGGAGGTTGATCTTACCTTAAAGGCATGCTTTAAAGTTGGTCCGGGGAGGTGTTCACCCCTGGACAAAAAGTTAATCATTTTCTCCTTGACACTTGTTATGTCCATTGGAAATAGTGATTTTTTAGGAGAAGCAAATAGAAGATGGAGGAGCTTTTACAAGTACCTGAAAAACTCTCTGGATATTGCTCAGAGTAGAAAAGGGGTATTCCCATATGTATTGTGCTGGCATGTTAGTTGTTTTGACAGCTAGATTGCCTTGTGGGGTGACTATATAAGTCCAGTTTGCACAAAATGACGAGAGCGATGCTTATTGGTAGTTGAAATGATGATGTTCATGTTAAGATAAATGCTGGGTATCCTCAACCATAATAAATTCTTTATGATATGATTGGAATTGGATTTTACATGTTGTCCACATTAACTAACTTGCCATATCATCTGCACTGTAAGCATAAACATGGTAACCTCTCTTTTCTCGTCAAGTTATTAGTTGGCTGATATATGAATTTGTATTAATAAACTTTTATCTGAATTACATATATATTATCCAATGATTTGTAATGAATTGTGTAGGCTGGTAGTAATCAAACTCCTGGGTCAGGTAGGGCAAAGAGGGATGCTGCTGCTCGTGCGATGCAGAGCTGGCATTCTCAGCGTGTTCTTGATAATGGTGAGGTGTGTCATCCAATCATTAAGGTTTGTGGAGAACTTCTAAACTATATGCGCTTACTATTTTGTTTAGTCTTTTCTCATTTTCCCTTTTCAGCTGCCCTGGTCTCACTGTTTTTATGCAATGCTTTTAAATTTTCTAGGACAAGAGCTCTATTCCTACACCCAAAAGTGACAGACAACTTAAAAATTATGGTATTACTAATACACTGGGCTGTCACATTCAACTACTACAATTCTCAAAATTGTCTTTATTTCGGAGACTTTTATTGCCTCAGGTTTATTAAAGCGTAAAAAGCCATCCACTCTGGAGCATGGTGTCCAAGTTTCTGCATTTAAAGAAACAAAACCACAGTTACGACTGCCAGTTACTTATTCGTAAATTTTTCCATTTTGTATAATGTATCAAACAGTATCTGGACTCTTGAAGGTGCCAAAACTAGGCATTCTTTTGGCAGGTTGGATACAATGGTTATCAATATTGGAGCCCCAGCTGATTGGGTGAAGATTAATGTGCAAAAAACTGTTAGTCTTTCTCATCTGTTATTCTTAGAACAGTGTGCCATATCGCTATTATCTATGAATCTCTCTCTCTCCTTCTCACAGATTGACTGCTATGAGGTATATGCTTTGGTTCCTGGGCTTCTGCGTGAGGAGGTTAGTATATCTCTAAATGATTCTCCTTTTCTTGTCCAATGTTTACTGGTATTTATGTTGCTTTTAAAATTGCTTGATTTTTGGGAGGTAAAGCTTACATTGAAGATAGATTTCATTCTAGTGGAAGAGATAAATGTTGCAGATGGAATATTTATTTTTCTGCAATGGAACTTTAATAGGAAATCTGTTTGAGTCCTCAAGTGACTTACTTCCCGATCATAGACCTAAGGAAGGAAGGCTGAGGGAATAGTGGGGGAAAACTTAAGGCCATCCACATAAGCCAACTGTGGAAGAATACATACATTTATGTCTTCGTTGAGAGCCTGTAAGGATTCATTTTAGGCTTGGGCTAGACTGAATTTGATCAGTGGCCTAACCAATATACCATTAGGCTCAACTGCTTAGGTTGTTAATGGAGTTCTTGGTGTGTAAGTTGCATTACTTTAGCCATTATAAATACTACAGGATCTTTTTGGTGAATTTCCTAGAGAGATTTATTGCAACTAGCCAAGTAGATTAATCTTGTCATCTATTTTTTTGGTAAGGTTTTTAATTTAGTACAAATGAGCAACCCAACAAGATTTCCATCAATTGCTGAATCTGTTTACCTTAAACATCTGCCTTTAGATTGTATTTGATTATGGTAGACGAATTACCATAGTGCTTAAATGAATCAGGTGCATGTTCAGTCTGATCCAGCAGGACGCTTGGTTATATCTGGTCAACCAAAGCAACTGGATAATCCTTGGGGTGTCACACCCTTTAAAAAGGTTTGTCAGAGTTGATGAAATTGCAACATAGAGTAGGATGTATGATCTGTTTCAATATTGCAGCATGATTAGGTGACTCTGAAAGTCATTCTCATGCCTATGATGTCCACATCCACATTCAAATAATCAAATTAAAAGGCATACTGGAATCATATACATTGTTCTGATAATAGTTTTTCATTGGTTTATTATTGATATGTGCTTGTATGCAGGTTGTCAACCTACCATCTAGAATTGATCCGAGTCAGACTTCTGCTGTAGTTACCCTGCATGGTCAGTTGTTTGTGCGGGTCCCATTCGAGCTGCCTGATGTATAGGTTGTAGTTTTTACCTTCTAAATATGTAGAGATTTCTCTAGTTTGAAATCTATCTGACATCTAATTCTGCAATGCACATATTTATTGAGTAGTTTATGCTCACAGCTGATATGAATATGAGTGGAGCTTGGATTGTGTTCCATTGCATGACCAGATTGACAGCAACAATGGCAAGGGAAATGCCATCTTGCATGATCTTCCTTGAAATATTGTTAATAGATTCATCTGATTTAGATTTGGTTTTGTAGAAAGGAGGGAAAGAAAGAAAAAAAAATGTTAAATTGAATTCGATTTTTGTTATTTGAAAGGATCTAATCCAAAATGATTCGCTCTCCTTTCAAGTGCCACCTCTGATATGGTAAACTTTCCCCAACTCTGAAATTTTACGGGTAGTGGACTACGATCAAATCTGCGTGGGTGAGATATAGTGTGCGTGCAGAATTCTGACTACTTATCCTTGGACTTCTTACCCAGCATATTCTTTTAAAAATAATGTTCACTATTTCTGTTTACAGAATCACAATATATAATTACTACATCTTAACACTTCTATGAACATTTTCCTTTGTCGGCAGATCGATTGGTTATTCCTGAAATCTTCCAGCGGAAACTCTTTTTCTAACTTTATCATGTTTTCGTAGTTGTTTTTCCAAAAAAAAAAGAAAACCTTCATCATCTTACCTTTTAGCTGCACATCCATTTGAAACTAATGGAATAATAGTAGTGAAATCTTCTTCACTTTCCTCTTTTCTTGGGATCTGGCTGAGTTTCTCAAGCAGTTGTGTCCACAAAAATTCCAGTCGCATCAACAAAGATGGTTAGTAGTTATTTTCCCTTTTCCAGAAACTATACAGTAACATGTACTTTTTTCTTCAAGAAACAAAAACCGTAAAACTTGACCTTTATGTTCTGCTCAAGGGAATTCAAAGGTACTACCTCCCACACCTTCAGCTTGGGCTGCGCCTCCTGTAGGTGGGTTGATGGCAATCCAGAGCAAGGAAAGTGTGATTGCAATGAGACCGGACCAAACAAAGACAATTGTGGGTGTCTTCCGTCTCCTGCCCATCAAACCCTTGGCAAAAGGATACAAATGAGCCAACACCCAGAAGCTAAAAAAAGCTCCTCCCATGAACTTACTCCATTGTGGTACTGAACTGTAAACCGTCCTTGAAAACGCAATCACAAGGGCGAGGATGTTTATCATGGCGATTACAATTGGTGGGATCATCAATGAAGTCCACTTCACTAGGTACAAATCCGCATAGATATCGTCTTCGTCTTCTCCTGCTGACTTTGAAGTCAATGTGAAAGAGATTTCAATGCCTGCAATCACTTTAAGAAGACCTTGCACACATGCAGCCAAGTGAGAACTGGTTCCAGAGATGAGCCAAAACTGTTCATTCCTCCACCACTCTTCCAATCCAATGCCGGACCATTTCACCTCCAGGATTGCGAGCATGATGAGGCAAATGGTTATAATTAAAAGGTAGACCAAAAATGTAATGTTTAGTGTTTTCACGATGAACTGTCCGGAGATGAGTGAGAGTGCAGGGAGGAAGCAATAGACAATGAGGAAAACGGACGTGAAGGGATAGATGCCGACATTAAGATAAGCCAGACGCTGAAGTATCTTGAGACGCCTGGAAGCAAGCAACGCGTTGTTTCTCGAGAAGAAAATTTCGACTGATCCCGTCGCCCACCGCAGCACCTGGTGAAGTCTATCAGTAAGGTTAATTGGAGCAGACCCGCGAAATGCATCTCGCTTGGTGATGCAGTAAATAGAGCGCCAGCCGCGATTGTGCATGCGATAGCCTGTCACAACATCTTCTGTGACTGAACCATAAATCCAACCTACGCGGTCACCCCATTCAGTCTTGTCCTCGTACCTGTTGGGAAAAATATGGTTTCATCATTTCACTTGGGGGATATTTGTTTTGCGATGTTATTAGGTCTGTTTGTTGATTGGTTTTTCAAGGCTTTATGGTGAAATAAAGTTGACATTTTGTCAGGATAATAAGTGTTGTTTAAAGGAAGCGCATACCAGCAAGAAATGACGGAGACAGCTTCAGCAATCGTAGCGGCATCAAGTGGTTCACGTGGGATCCTGAGAGCGCCGGGGGGCCGTCCAAACTTGATTGCAGGGTGATCTGCAATAGGGCGGCCCCGGAACTCACAGATTGGTATAGACTCTGCTAGCAACGTAGAATTTCCAAATCGCTTTGGCAATAGATTTACATCAAGATCAGGATCAAAGTCACTGGTCGTTAATGGTTGTGTTTCGCTGTCTTTCGCCTGAGTCATTCTCTCAGGATTTGGAGGATCGAACCCATATAATGCGAATCGCCTGAACATGCAGCCAGTTCCCACATAAACAGGGCCCTGCAGATGTCATGTTTCAATTTTAGACAATTTCTGACTTGGATTCCTTGAAATAGTGCTTATAGTTTGTACTTAATGAAAGAGAAGAATACCTGCACGCCATCAAGGGCACGCATGTTACCATCAAAAAACACGGTGTTGTGATTAGCATAACGATCAGACGGATCAATGCCCTCAAATCTCTGAGGGAACTGAATGTAGCAGATATCTTCGCCACCTCGATCCATCATAAAGCACATTCCTTCACGAATAGCTTTGCAATTATATATATAGTGATCGCAATCAAGGTTAAGAATGAATGGACCGTTGGACAAAATAGCTGATCCTCGCACCAAAGCATTCATTGCACCGGCTTTCTTGTTATGATCATAGCCTGGACGCTTCTCCCGTGATATATAAACAAACATGGGGAGCCGTATGTCTACATCAGTGAAGTCTACGAGCTTATCTTCGCCATTTCCCATAAGTGGGTCACTACTAGGTGGCTTCAACATCACCTATTCGTTTATGGCCATCGCCATAAGCATTCATGCTTCATCTGATTAGTAATTATGCAGGAAAATGAAACGAAAGACTCAAATAAAAGCATTTTGCATGTATAAAAAGGTTTTGGCATAATGATTATGTGTACCTGCAGAATTCCAGCATGGTCCCCCTTGGAATGTTCCCTGGAAGGGACAGCCCAAGTTCCCGGCCAATGGGTGCCATCAGCCATCCATGTGGCCTTCAGGACCTTTGGTTTCTCCAAAGGGTCAGCCCCGGTCTCCCTAAGGTGTTTCAGCATCTTCATTTCCTCCCTTGCATTGAATGCCTCCGATCTCCTTCTGATTGAGTCAGGAAGCCCGTTGATCCTCACCTTGAACTCATCATACTCTCTCTTCATACTCCTTCTATCCTTCACAAAGTCGGACCTGCTCTTGTTCTTAGTTGGATCAACTTTTAAGTTGAAATAAGCGTCAGGATTCCTAGGCTCGATATCATGTTTTCGACAAAATGGAACCCATAAATCAGCAAAACTGGCAGCTTCTGCCATTGCCTCAAAGGTGAGGAGGGCGCCTCCATCATCAGAGATGTAACATGATACCTTTTCTACAGGATAATCAACTGCCAAAATAGAAAGGATTGTATTTGCAGTGACGAGCGGTGGCTCCTTCTCTGGATCAGCAGTGGATACAAACAGGTCAACTCCAGGGAGGTCAGAGCGGCCTGTCGGATTAGATGGTGATGACAATTCAAACTTTTCACGGAGGACCTCGAGATCCGTGGAACGGTTAATTGGACAGAGTTTAGGAATCTGATCAAGGATCCAGGAGAAGGCAAACCATATTTCACACACAATTGACATGAGCCACAGCCATACTGCATCATCATTTGGATGCATCAATCTCCAGTGTAGGAAGAAGCCCAGCACCACCAATCGAGTTACAATCAACAACCTATGTAAATGATCAGTAATCGGTTAGTTTACTTCCACTAGTAGCACATTAGCCGATAGTTATGTTCATTTAGTATACTGATGACTTTCTTTCTTTATTTCTTCTTCTCTCATAAGTTATCCAAGAACAAAAGCTGAATTTACATTAAACCTGTAAGGGCTAAGGATGGCTGCAGGGATTGGAATCCTCCGACTTAGGGGCTTCCAAGGCTTATCATTATTCTCCAAGTCCCCATGGAGCCTATCATCCTCATCATCACCATACATGTCATCTTCAGGCTGGAAAGCATTACCATAGCCATAAGTACCACTTGTTTCGAACAACCACCTGTTGTGATCGAAGTCTCCTCCTTGATTCCTTTTCGTCATAGACATATTATTAGCATCCTTTTTACCATTTGGAGCAGGCAATTTTAATGTTCCATTGGAATATTCTGGCCCATCATCGTCATAGTCTCCGACTCTGTATGGTTCCTTGCAACCTGGACACAGACCTGTGTCTTTTTGAGCATCCATGTAGCAATCTCTGCAGATTTTGTACCTGGAAAGTACAGTAGATTTATTTATTTGTGATCAGAATGATATTCCATTTTCTCCTTTTAAACAAAAAATGGTTTTGTTGTAGAACAAACCTGCATTCGCAAGGCGTTACATCATTTCCTCTCTCGTCCTTCATGATCTTGCCATCACAAGCAGCCACTGAACATGAGGCTCCCTTAGCTCCAGCCATCTGAGGATGGCTCACCTCTGAATCAATCACCTTGTCCATCAGATGTGCTCGAGTCACGCTATTGAAACCCCCAGTGAACAGAGAATTTGAAACGTATTGCTCTTCGGCCTTTGCAGCTACGGAATTATCCATTGGCTGATTGTCTGGAGTGGGAGGAATGTGCACAGTGTAGTTCATGAAATCTCCCGATGACTCCTCTGACATGTCAATGTCCTCTCTTGATAGACTAACATACCGGCCACTTAAAGTTCGTCTAGCAAATTTTACAGTCTGTCCATTGGAATTACGTGAGCCGCCCTGAGAGTTGCTAGAACCACCAGGGCTACGCATTCCCTTCTTAGATGGTTGGGAAGATAGAGATGCCATTGTTGTTTAACTGAAAATTCCCTTTCCCTATCAATTCTTCATGCATAATTAGACATTTGCATTAAATTAAAACTGATCTCTTCACCATTGCAATTCCAGGATAGGATACACTTTCACAAGTTTAGCCTTGAAAGTAAGGCAAGCTCAATTTTGATGCTTGGAAATGTTGTGTTTAGATATGACAGGAAAAGGTTAAGGCAGAAATGTACATACTCAACATGAAAAGATGGATTGGGATGAAGCGATTGTGACCATTGATAATTTCTTTCATTTCTTTTCCACTAATGTTGGGACCAAATTGGAATTTGTTTTGACAGAAAGAGGTGAGAAATGAAGTGTGAATATGGATAAGATTGATGGTGGGAGACCGAGTCCAATGGAAGGAATGTTTTCCTATGAACCGTTTTACGGGTTTCAAGGAGAATTTGTTTTCGTGGAGGGAAGCACATATGTCCGATGTTCGTGTGGATTATTGCACATTCATGCCTAAATTGGTTAGTTGCAAGTCAGTTGTATTCATGAAGTCAACATTCATGGCATGTAGAAAAACAATGGCTCCTA